ACATGCTACATGCATGTGTTATGGTCTTTGGTGGGAGTTAGGACACCTATTTTCCCTTGGATGAGTTTTCTTACAACAACAACCACCATTCCAGTATTGGTATGCCTCCCTTCGAGCTCTTATATGGGAGGAGGTTTCGGACTCCCATCTGTTGGGGAGAGGTAGGGCAGTGAGTTATGTGTGGCACTGAGATAGTGCTAAAAACGACCGGGAAGATTGAGCAGATCTGACAGAGGTTACTGATAGCCCAAAGCCGCCAAAAGAGTTACGCAGTCCGACGACGTTCTGAGCTGGAGTTCCAGGTCAGAGATTTTATCCTCCTGAAGGTATCCCCATGGAAAGGGGTGATCCGATTCAGGAAACAGGGCAAGATAGGCACTAGATACATTGATCCTTTCAGAGTGACTGCCAGAGTGGGTAAGGTAGCTTACTGATTGGAGCTACCTGCAGAGCTGAGCCAGATTCAAAACACCTTCCATGTGTCTCAGTTGAGGAAGTATGTAGTGATGAGACGGCGGTGGTACCATTAGAGGACATTCAAGAAGATGTGAGCCTGAATTACATTGAGAGGCCAATAGCAATCTTGGATTGAAAAGTGAAGGTTTTGAGGAATAAAGAGGTGCCCCTGGTTCAGGTCCAGTGGCAAAAACGGAAGGGATCCGAGCGGACATGGGAGTCGGAGTCTGAGATGCATGAGCAGTACCCAGACTTATTTATGGACCATGACTTCGAGGGTGAAGTCTAATTCTAGTGGGGGAGAATTATAACATCCCAACTCCCAGGTATAATATTTATATATTTATTTACGAGTTGATTGAGCAACTCGACGAGTAGGTTCCCCAACTCGTCGAGTAGAGACATACTGATCATATGGGTTTTACAACTAACTCGGTGAGTCGGAGAGACCAACTCGACGAAGTTGGCGCCTTGAGAGGAAACCCTAATTCTTCGGGGTTCGGTCCCATTTAAAGGACCATAATCCCTCATTTCCGCCTCACCAGCCACCTTACTCCCCTGTGACCCTAATCATCTATATTGATCTGAGAGAGAGAGAGAGAGAGAGAGAGAGAGAGAAAGTTAATCTTGTGATTTTAGTGCACTTTTGGGAGGAGAAGTGGACAGCATCAAAGCTTGGATGAAGAGCAGGCTTTTGGATCCAGAGATTCTTTAGAGATTAGCTTCAGTTGGAGGTAAAAAGATGCTAACTTGATCATTTCCGTATGAGATCTTGGTTTAGGGAGTTTTTTTTGGGTTTTCTCCCATCTATCTTGTGTCATTGAGTCATTTAAGCATGGCTTGAGGTTGGAACCTCAGATCTGGACTGTAGGAGGCCTTGTGAGTCCAAAGACCCGAGCTTTATTGAGCAAGAGGCAAGCTTTTATGCATCTAACCCTTGTTGGAGCTTGTATTGGAATTGTGAGCCTAATATGCCATGTGTGAACGTAAATCTTGCAGGTTTACGTGATATTCGAGCCGTAGGAAGATAGATTCGAAGTATAGGGCATCATTTCTGCCTTAAAACATCTAAATGATAATTTGACATAAGGGACTCGATGAGTCGATGAGCCGACTCGACAAGTCGGTTAGGGTTTGTCCCGATGACTCTGAACACATTGTAACTCGGCGAGTTAAAGGGTCATCTCGGCGAGTTAAGTTAGACTTTCATGAGGGTTCTGAGGAAACAAAGGGACTCGACGAGTTGCGTAGATGCACTCAGCGAGTTGGGTCAACATGGACTGTTGACTCGAGTGTTGACTTCTGTTGACTTTAGGGTTTGGTTAAATTTGAGTGATGGAGGTAATGAAGGGGTAAAATGGTCTTTTACCCATGCCAAGACTTCGAGAGGGTCTAGCATGAGTTTATTTAGAGTTGTGATCTTTAAATGTTAATTTGAGATGCTTATTACATGTAGGCGGGGATTAGACTGTTTGAGGGGTATTCCGTTTCCTTGCTTTCTTACAAGATGAGTCTTCTCACTATACTTACCTTGAGTGGTAATTTGTGTGACCAGAGGGACTTGTATGCTATTATTGAGTATTATGGTATCATACATTATGTCTTTGTGATTTATATTTTGTATTATACAAAGTTTACTGAGCTAGGACCGGAGGTTCCACCCTAGTTGTGGGACCGAAGGGTACCACTGAGACACATCGACCGGAGGGTCTTATTCAAGCGTAGCCATGAGAGGCTAATGAGAGAAGTGTAACATCTTGGGGAACTCACTAAGCTTCGTGCTTACCGTGTTATGTGTTATGTGTTTCAGGTACTTCTCAGGATCACGGGAAGGTACCGGCTTGATTGTACACACGAGACGGAGATATGTTTCGAGGATCCTGGATGGTGTTTTTAAACAACTTATGAACATGTGTTTTTGATAATTCGATATTTTTAGGGATTTTGTGATTTTGTTAATGAGATTAATGAGATTTTTAAATGAGAATTTTGTTTGAAAATTAACTGTATTACAAATTTTCTTAGGAGAATTTCACAAACTTAAAATATTACTTCTATATCCTTGTAAATTTAAAAATTACATATATATCATTCTCAAACTATAAAATTCACATTTATATCAAAACTTATAATTTAATCTGGATTATATCAATTTGATATTAAAAAAATTATCTAAAATACAAAATATCATATAAGTTTACCAAAATACCCTTCCTACTTTAAATCAAAAATTAAAGATTAGACGTGATACATGTCTCGTTCTCCTAATCGCTTTGTTTAGAGTCCATTCTATATTACTTTTGCATTTTGAATATAACCTTTAACACTCGTTGAAAACCTCAAAATAGATGAGTCTATGTAACTCACTTCACAAATTGAAGACATATTCACTTTTAGCTTTTTTTTCCCTTCATCTAACAATTTTTTTAGGGAACAAACAAACAGGTAAATTATATCTTTTAAGAACATTAGACATTGACTTTTGCTTCTTTTCTATATGGAAATCAAAAGAAACAAGTCAAATCAAATACAAGAAAAAATAATTATAAAGAATCACAAATTAAAGATGAGATAAACACATTGACCCAATGATCATGGGATCAAGCGTTCCAAGGAGTACTACAAAAACTTCAACCAAATTTTTCAAAACATAGAACAATTTACATGCTACATGCTCTTGTATAAATACTAAATCCAAAATAAATAAATAAATAAAATTCAAAATAGATACCTTTTCATAACATCCATATACCATATTATCAGAAAAAATCCTAGTAATAGTATAAAAAATCACTAAGCACTGTAATATAAAAAAGCACAGCACCATTAGTGCATGTCAATTTGGCTAGAAAGGAGTTTCATGGACCTTTCAAGTATTGACATCCATGGAACAATACCCCAAAATTAGTGCCTCCATATACAAGTGTGCTTATAGTATCAAGACTCTAAGAGGTTATATCAATTGTAAGGTTGCACTGATGCAGGTATTTGGTGTAATATGATTAATAAGATTCAACCATTATAGAAAAGATAGTTATAAGAGCGGCAAATAATTGGTACCCTCTATAACTTGTGATGAAGATAAGATATGTATATGAGGATATACGTATCAGAGAAAGAAGATTATATTCATATTGACTGAATGAACGAGATAAATATCACGTCTAATCTTTAATTTGAGATTTAATTTTGGGAGGGTATTTTAGTAAACTCATATGGAATTGTGAATTTTAGATAGATAATCCAAATTAAATTATAGGTTAATTTGGATATAAATGTGAGATTTATATTTTGAGAAGGATATATATATATATATATATATACATATATATATATATATATATATATATATATATATATATGTTCAGGGTCATTTGAGACAATGCTAATTTTGTGAGACCGTGAGACCAAATCTAAAAATAATTTTAAAATGCAAAATAAATGAAAAAATCCAAAATTTCTTTTTTTAAATATTATTTCCGTAATTTGAAATAACTAAAAAAAAATAAAAAAAAATCTCTTTTTTTTGAAAAATACATAAAATATTCTAATAAAATATTAAACTGTACATATTCTAAAAAAATAATTTTAAAATGCAAAATAAATAGAAAAATCCAAATTTTTTTTTAATATCATTTTCGTAACTTGAATTAACTAAAAAAATCCCATTTTTTTTTTAAAATACGTGAAGTATTCTAATAGAATATTACACTGTACTTATTCTAAAAAATAATTTTAAAATGCAAAATAAATAGAAAAATCCAAAAAGTCTTTTTTTAAATATTATTTTCGGAATTTGAATTAATTAAAAAAATAAAAAGTAAAAAAAATCCCGGTTTTTTTTTTAAAAATACATGAAATATTCTAATAGAATATTACTAGAATATGTAAAAAATGTATTTTTTTTCTATTTTTTTTAAAAAAAAATTTGATATTTATTTTATTTTATTTTGAAAATATATATTTCGAAATAATATTGGAAAAATAATTTCGAAAAATTTCATTTATTTTGCATTTTAAAAATCTTTTTGTTTTATCTACTAAATGAGTAGCTAGGATTGCGTCTCACGGTCTTACAAAATTAGGTCGTCTCACATTAAACTTATATATATATATATATATATATATATATATATATATATATATATATATATATATATATATATATATATATATATGTGTGTGTGTGTGTGTAATTTTCAGTTTTGCAAGGATATCATAGTAACATTTAAAGATTTAAAGTTTCTAATGATAAAAATGAAATTTTCTCTATTTTTCATTTTATACACCAACAACGCATAAGCACATTAGCACATGAAATAAAAATAGTAAGCACAACAAATTAAAGAGGTTGACGGTAGGTGTAATATGTTACCATAACACTTATATTAAACGCAAACTGGAATGTTCTTGATGACAATGACAAATAGGAAATAATTTATGATTAATAATTATTTTACCCAACATATCTTTGGGAAAATGAAGTAAAATGTATAGGTACGTAATTTGAAGATGCATGTGCATGCAGTCACTTAATTATTTGACTAGTCAAAAAACAGTCGGATGCCATACGGAAGTGATCTAGGTTTGTTTTTGTTCCTTACCTTTTCAAAGATGTACTCGTAGTAGCCGCATATGGAGCGATAGAGTTCTACCATTAAGGGGATTTGAAAAATCGCAAAAGATACAATCGGAAGGAAAGCTAGTACACATATCGGAGCAAGCATCCATCGTTTTCCATGACAAAAGACGAAGAACAAGGTCGCGCTGAAGGCCACCATCATGGCAGTTGTCGATATCATTAAGCTGCAAAGACCAAGAATCAATCGGTTTGGCAAAGTGATTCGAAAATCTTGCTCAGAAAAACGGCCAGTGAGGATGGACTGGAACATTAGTAATGCTGTACTCGATGCGAATAGTGAGATTGCGTCTGCTACAGCGAAGATTTTGAAGGCAACGTTTTCTGTAAACACAGGGATGCCTGTGTCTTGGTTGCTTCCACCTGGTACTGTGATTGCTGCTGCAAATACGATTGTGGCAATCAGTGCTGCAGTGATGCTGCATGATTCTGCTACGGTTTTCATCCACTGTTCTCCTTCCTTCACCAAATGTTTGTGTTCCTTTGTGAATACCATATCCGGTGTCTCATTAAAAATGTTCTCTTTAGTAATGTATGCTGGAGATACCATCTTCTTCACCACCTATATAGAATTATTTAACTGGTTAACTAAACAACACTATATAATTCCAGTCCTACAATTCATACCTCACGCCATTGAAGCTCTCTTTGTAGTTGTAGTGCTGCACCAGTTCTCAGCTTTAGTTTATGAGTGGGAGCTAATCTTCCAACCAAGTGTAACATATTGTTTTGTGAAGAATCTTCGATAGTTCTATAAACATTCCTACGCTCCCCAAGGATCTTGATAAGCTCGTAGATATGTTCTGAACGGTGTATCACTGCTATCTGGATGATGTCATACCCACTTTTATCTTTATACCGAATTGCTTCGGGGCATCTCATTAAAATCTCATCAACAACCTCATAAGCATCTTGACGTGCTGCTTCATGAACTGGTCTTGCGTAATACCTCCGAGGATCATGAGGTTTACCTGAATTCTCGATTTCATCACATACCAATTTTAAAACTGTTTTTGCTTCTTGGGGTTCCCTGTGTTTCTTCTCGATATCCTCAATATATTTACCTGTATATGCACCGGAAAAAAAAAATTTCAAATTTCTTGTGTAAAATTTATATAAGTGATTAACTTCATACAGTATATAATAATATACTCTTACATTCTGTTATTAAAATCTTCCACATGAAAAAATAAAACATAAAGAACGGAAAATAAACCATCGTTATGAAGAGGAGAATTATCAAGCGACAGATCCATGATAGCACACATAATGGAACTGCAAAGCACAAATTTTTATTAGAGAAATAAGAATATATACATAATTTCTATGTTCAAATATATGATTAATTATCCTGGAGTTGTATATATCTAGTCATTCGTTGTCAATTGATAACTCACCCATTATAATGGTGAATTGTACGAGTTTCAAAATACTCCAAATCATGTTATTAGGTATATCCTGTATGATTTTCATTGGGATTCTGTGGAACCATACTAATGTATAAAACAATATCCTAGCTCTCTCGACCATCCATTCAAAAGTATGATCAGGAACTGAAAGAGAAAAACCATATCCAATCATGCATGCATCCGAAGGAATTAAAGCTGCTACGGAAACATAATTAAAAACGAATAACATAACAAACTTACTTGGATATATAAGTGTTTCCCAATAGTCTAGCCCAGTCGGAAAGGTTTTTGCTATTGCCATCAGTACCTCATCGCCTTCCACAGCAAATTGAGGATACTTTTGAATTAACTCCTTTGCTAAATCTGCAGGCATGCATGCATGTTCAAATTAATCAGCAAGTCTTATAATCGTATCTATGTGAACGTGATATATAGATTTTTTGGCTAGCTACACACCATACTGCTTTGCAGAAATAGCATTCGCAAGAAGGTTGGAGCCTTCTTTTACATCTATAAGGTTTTCCTTGGTTTTTCCATCTTTTTTGGTAGCTTTCAACAAATATTCAACGGTATCCAGATGCATATTTTCAAAAGCTTTATGCAAAGGTGTTTCATGTTTATTGTCTTCTGTTGCCAACAAATTTTTGTTTCTTTTAATCAAGAGCTTTGCTCCTTCTGTGTTTCCGACAATTGCAGCAATGTGAAGGGCTGTGCTTCCATTTTTATTTCTCATTTCATGTAATTCTGCTTTATTGATTTTTGATAACACCTCATGCACAGAAGAGTTCATGTGACCGATCCCAACCAATAGATGAAGTATCGTGTTCTTATCACTGTCGATTGCCTCTGTGATTTCGACTTTCTGTTTATCTATCATTGATTTTACGTCATCCCATCTCCCTTCCACAATAGCACTACACAACATCTTGTTGCGTTTCGTCTTTTCATCTTCTTTCATTTGGACTTTAGGTTTTCTTTCTATGAATAGCCCCCCTAGAGCCTGCTTTATCTTCTTTTCATACCTTGTTACTTTGCCCTTGACTTCTTCTTTTAATTTCAACATTTCTTCTATTAACGTTCGTGTATCTGTTGGAACCGCGCTTTCATGTTGACCAGTTTCAGTCTCTGTTTCTGCTAAAAACATATCGATTCCTTGGTTACTCATTCGATTTCAAACTTTATATATATATATATATATATATATATATATATATATATATATATATATATATATATATATATATATATATATATATATATATATATCTTTTATTTCCGATAATTCCCTTCTAGTTTCATTTGAACTGAATATGGTTGCCGTTTCTAAATCTCAATTAGATGACTATGTATGTAAACCATATATAAGAACCTTTCTTAAGCATCAATCGTTACAAAAGTTTATTCAAATTAGGAATTTTAACTCATGATAAGAAATACATAAAATAACATGCAAGTATGAGCCAGAAATATGATTGCATGATAACTCATAATTGGAATATTTTGGTTTAACCTTAAATATAATTTACAAAAAATGAATAAAACGCCCAATTTGTGATTTTGTCGAAATATATATTTATGAACTAATCTATCATATATGTGAATGCTACATAAATGTTGATGTAGAACTGGTAGCTTTTGCATTTATTACCAGGGTTTAGAGCCACAGCCTCCTTTATCGTCCTTTTATACTTTGCTACTTTGTCCTTGACTTCATCTTTTATTTTCAATATTTTTTCTTCCATAGACGGTCGTGTATCTGTTGGAACCGCTCTTTCATCTTGACCAGTTTCAGTCTCTGTTTCTGCTAAAAACATATCGATTCCTTGGTTACTCATTCGGTTTCAAACTTTATCTATATATGTCTTTTATTTCCGATAATTCCCTTCTACTTTCATTTGAACTGAATATGGTTTCGTTTTTAAATGTCAATTAGATGACTATGTATGTAAACCATATATAAGAACCTTTCTTAAGCATCAATCGTTACAAAAGTTAATTCAAATTAGGAATTTTAACTCATGATAAGAAATACCTAAAATAACATGCAAGTATGAGCCAGAAATATGATTGCATGATAACTCATAATTGGAATATTTTGGTTTAACCTTAAATATGATTTACAAAAAACTGAATAAAACGCCCAATTTGTGATTTTGTCGAAATGTTTATGAACTAATCTATCATATATGTGGATGTTACATAAATGTTGATGTATAGAGCTGGTAGCTTTTGTATTTATAACCAGGGTTTAGAGCCACAGCCAAGATGAAATATCATTATCTAATTGTAAAGTACATTGTTTTACGCCGAGAGGTCAGTCGTGGTGCTCAGACTAGTTTAATTATATTATTTATTGAGAAAATCATCATGTTCCAATTAGCTGTTTTATCATCAGTTGGACTTAATGTCTAATGTCGTCAAACTATAAGTTCATGTATATGAAGCAGTGTTGACAGTTAAAGTAAATGGAATGTGCGTACCTTTTGTAGAATGCGTTATAGTTGGATCGTAGATGGATTTTAGTTTGTCCCAAACTTTTTTAGCTGATTCAAGGTTAAAAACAGTGTTAAGTAGCTCTTCACTGATTGTACTGAAAATCCAACCCATGACAAGACTGTTTGGTGGAGTATTGATCAAGTCTGGGGTACTTTGATCACATACAATGTCATAGAGATTGTAGCTCTTCAGGAGGCACCCCATCTGCTTCTCCCATAGATGGTAGTTTCCTTCACTGGAAAGCTTCACAGAAACGAAGTTAGAAACATTCGCATTGAATGCATGCGAGTCTTGATTTTGAGGTGCTGAAGAAGAAGAAGAAGAAGAAGGGTTTGATGAGCTTGCCATTTGAATGGAGAAGAGGTGTGTGTGTGTGGCATGTTGATGAGCTTCTTCATTGTTTATATATAGTGCATATAGGGCTAATTATTATATTCGATACGTGCATTAATTAGTCTCAGCTTTATCTTTTTTGTCTTCCTTTCACTTTCTTTTCGCTAAACATATTCCTAGTACACAGTTGATAGAGTGCATTGCTAATGAATAAGATTTGTTTAATTTTTTTTCAACGGCAGAGCATATATATATTATGAAAAGAACAGATCTAGCTGCAGGAAACTGGACACGGAGTACAAAGTTTGCCCCCTTTCTGAACAACATCACTCCATGTAATTATCCAGTAAACTAATCGCTTAATCAGCACCGGTATAACTAATTAACACACCAAGATATATAGAATAACCAAAAGTATAAAAGTAGAGGGACATGTCGTTTTTCACACCAGGATATATTTGATGTATTCCATACTTGCATTAAGTACTCTCCGCTTTAACTTTTTTCACTCTATCACTTTTTCTTCTTGTCAATTAAGATATTCCTTACCAAAGGTCTAAAACCTAGGTGGTGTCCTCCCTCTTTGAGATCGAGGGTTCAAGTCCCGTTGTAGACATATGTGGAATAGGTATTATTATATTAGGAGTAAATTAGATTTGCCGGTTAAAAAAAAAAAATTAAGATATTCCTTGAGAGGGCATAATTTAGTTTGAGAAATATTGTCAATGAACGTGAAAAACGTTGAGTTCTAATAGGTTATATCATTCAAAATATATTAAATGAACTATAAATAGTAACTTACTAAATAATCTTTTTTTTACAAAATTAATAATATTGATGATTGTTTATTTGACGTTTTTTATTACAGAAAATTAAGTTATTAATCGGTTTTAATTATTCTCCTAAATAATTTGTGATGATACTTTCTTTTAAAAGATTTTTTGTAATTTTTTTACAATGAGTATCCTTTTATAAATCTTTTCCGTAGCCAAACTTCATATATATATATATATATATATATATATATATATATATATATATATATATATATATATATATATATATATATATATATATATAATATATATCGCATTTTCTTTAAAACCTTTTCTTATATCTTTTTATTTATTCATGTCAATTTAGATACACAACAAGAAGAAATGGGAACATTAGCGATGACACACCTTTTGGCGACGACAGCAGAAGACATGTCGTCGCTAATACCATTAGCAACGATTTTTGGAATCAATTGTGACAACTTTTGTCATCGCTAAAAGTAGGTTTTTTTGTTGTGATATGTTATGTCGATAATTCCATACAATTGAATAGTTATATATTAAACTAAAAGATTGACAAAACTTTTTGAAAGTATTTTCATTTGTTTCTTTTTTTTAATGACATTAGTCGATCGTTAGAAAGTTATTAATCGTAATATTTTATGTTATGCAACATTGATATAAAAATGGTTTTTTGGGACGGTTTTACTGAAAGTAGGTTGGTTACGATTTTATATTTTTTGTGACTAAAGGTCATTAACGGAATTTCAAGATTATTTTAGTCATAGTTTATTAAAAATGTGTGCCCATTGTAAATTAGAATTCATAGGGCTGTAAACGAACTAAACAAACACGAGAAAGGCTTGTTCATGTTTCTTTGTTTAGGTTTAACTTAACTAACAAATGAACACGAACGCTTAAACAAACATGTTTTCTTGTTTGTGTTTGTTTGTTTAAAAATTACATTGTTTGTGTTTGTTTTTGTTTGTTAAGATGTTTTTCTAATTTTACCAACCTTCATTGTTTTTCTAATTTTCATCGTTTGCGCATTTAATAGTTAAGAATTATATGTTATTCTATGTTACTATATATATATATATATATATATATATATATATATATATATATATATATATATATATATATATATATATTAACAAATATTAACTAAACAAATATTAACGAACGTTCACGAACTTAAATAAACGAACGCGACCATTGTTCATGTTTATTTGTTTAACTAAACAAACATAAAATTTTGTTTGTGTTTGTTTGTTTATTATATAAACAAACATAAACGAATATTTTATCGAACGAACTACGAACGGTTTGTCAAACGTTTGGTTCATTTACAGCACTAAGAATTCATATCCTTAGCCACGGTTTTACATAAGAATTTTGACATGTACTGTCACGGATAAAAAATTTGGCCAAATGTCATCATGTATGATGGTTTTATTTGATATGTATATTTATCTTTTAACGGTTATTAATGGAGACAAAATACAAAATGACGAACTCTAATTTTAAAAGACCAAATCTTTTACTAGAATTAGTCACATAAAAAAACTTTGGCGACAAGGTAAGGTATATAGTCATAGAAATGTTTTTGTTTGACTAAATAGTAGCATCTATATTATAAGTCACATTGTTTGGTCAAGATAAACGATTAACCATGTGGCTAAAAATAATTTAAGGTCACAATTTAGATTCAATTTGTGTCTAAAAGTAACATTGGTCGTAATAAATATAAAAATTGTGGCTATAAGTATTTTATGGTCATATTTTAGTGTATTATAGGTGTCTAAAACTAAATAATTATCGTGATATAAGAAATTAAACATGTGGTTATATGTTTTTTATGGTTATACTTTAATTTGTTGCATGTGTCTATAAAGTATACAAGGGTCCAGGAAATAAACTACCTAAAAGAGACCCACTAATATTGGGGCACAATAAACAACAACGTAAATTACGGGATTGCATCCTAAAATGGCTCTCGTCAACAGCTTTGAAAAACTCTTCCACAAACAGCTTTCGTTAACATATCTGCAAGTTGGTCCTTTAAGTTCACATGAGGTAGTTTGATAGTTTTCTTTTCGAGATGGTCTTTAAGGAAGTGGCGATCAACCTCAACATGCTTTGTCATGTCATATTGAACAGGGTTGTTGGCAATATTTATCGATGCTTGATTATCACAGTATAGCTGCATGGGGCTGGTTTGATCAATCTTAAGGTCTCGAAGAATTCGGTTTATCCATAGAAGTTCACATACGCCATGAACCATTCCCCGATACTCCGCTTCTGCGCTTGACCTTGCAACCAAGTTTTGTTTCTTGCTTCTCCATGTGACTAGGTTCCTATTTACAAACGTAAAGTATCCCGATGTCGACTTTCCATCCGTTCCATCTCCAGCCCAATCTGCGTCCGTGTAGCCACTTACTTGGTGACTTGTTCCTTTCATAAAGAATAATCCTTTAACTGGTGATGCTTTTAGATACCGTAATATTCGATACACAGCTGCCATATGATCTTCACTTGGGGAGTGCATGAAACGACTTACAACGCTGACTGCATAGGCTATGCCTGGTCGTGTGTGCAGTAAGTATATTAACTTTACGACTAGCCTTTGATACCTTTCTTTATTAGCTGGAACTTGATTAGGATGAATCATAAGTTTGTGATTGATTTCGATTTGGTATCAACCGGCTGGAAATTGAGCATTTCAGTTTCAGCCAATAAATCAAACACATACTTTCTTTGGCACATGGAGATTCCCGCTTTTGACCTGGCCACTTCAATACCTAGGAAGTACTTTAGGTGACCAAGATCCTTTAGTTCAAATTTAGTTGTGAGGGTTGTTTGTAGGTTTGACATTTCTTTTGGGTCGTCGCTTGTGACCACCATGTCATCGACATACACAATAAGGGCAGTCACCTTTCCTTCATTTTCTTTGACGAACAATGTGTGATCAGCATCACTTTGCTTGTATCCAATTCTTTTCATGAAATTTGAGAACCAGCCAAACCATACCTGAGGAGATTGCTTTAATCCGTACAATGCTTTCCGTAACTTGCACACCTTCCCATTACATTTTGTACCCGGCGGTGGATCCATATATACTTCCTCTTCTAAATATCCATTTAAGAAAGCATTCTTTACATCGAACTGTTTTAAAGGCCAGTTCTGATTTGCTGCTATGGAGATAAAAATACGGATGGTGTTGATTTTTGCAACAGGTGCAAATGTGTCTCCATAATCAATCTCATACTTCTAAGTATATCCTTTGGCTATGAGTCTGGCCTTGTATTGATCTATGTTTCCCATTGAATCAAGCTTAATCGTATATACCCATCTACATCCAACAGTTTTCTTCCACGGAGGAAGACTCATCAACTCCCACGTTTGATTTTTCTGAAGTGCTTCCATTTCTTGGTTCATGGCGTTCTTCCATTTTTCATCTTTCAAAGCTTCTTGTACATGTTCGGGATTTTGACGGTAGATAATTCTTCGACAAGGAGAGCATGAGACCTTGCTAAGCGATGAGATGAGACATAGTCACCAATGGGGTAGTTTGCCTTCGCTTCTAGATCGAGTTGATATTGCTTCTTTTGTATCCCTCTATTATGTCTTGCTAGGTATCTAGGTTCTGGAGTGTTATTAGTCTCCTGCAAAACAAAATCAGGTATTTCATTCTGCAAAAAAGAAGCATTAGGTGTATCGATGACCTCCGGATTCTCGATGGGGTTGGTGACGGGGTGTGTACTATCTCGAGATTCATTTGTGGTATCGTTATCCTCGGTATTCTGCTCATTTCCATCTTCATTTTCCCCATTGATTTCACCATCGGATTGAGAGTCGTAATCTGCAATTTCGGGTGCAAGGTTCTCGAATGATCCACCATTATTGTTTTCATCTTGACTTTCATGTGTTTCATGTGTGACTGATCTACCGTTGTCATTTTCATCTTGACTTTCATGCATTTCATGTGTGATTTCTTCATCCAAGTTGTATTTTTTCTCCCCTTGAAGAGAACACTCATGACCGAAGAAGAAATCATTTTCATGGAAAACCACATCTCGAGTTACATACATCTTTTGAGTCTTTGGGTCAAGAAATCTATACCCTTTTTTTTTGCTCCGCATACCCCAAGAAAATACATCTTATTGCTCTTAATTCCAACTTTCCCATGCTTTGATGAACATAAGCAGTACATCCGAATACTCTTGGTTCAAGGCCCGGGCTGATTGGTGTGCTTGTAAG